CTTTTTCCCCTCAGCTTGTGACGATATCCCGACCCCTGCTGCTGTAGCCGAATCTGCCATGAAGGTTCTTAACAGCTGCTTGTCTTCCATGCCAACAGGTTTGTTCCCACACTCTGTTCACACCGAGGTGCTTAAGCGATGGCCATTTTCAAGGTTTACTCTTAGGCCATTGATCATGTTCTCAAATATTGTCCTTCCCTCTTCCAGCTTCAAAAAACCCTCCCTGCCTTTCTAAAACCAAGCCTTTTATCTGGGTAACCAAGTGGGTCGACTACTCCAACAAATACGGCTTCGGTTACCAACTCTCCAATCAAAATGTCGGCGTACTCTTCAACGAAGGCACTCATCTGAGCCTGTGTGACCAGCGGAGGTACGTCAGCTTGCTTTCTGTTCTCTAATGAGCCTCCAGTTTGGCATTTTGGACTGAGCTCTGATTGACCCACATAGAGTGCTTTACCCTTTACAAAGTCTCTGCTTTCGACCAAATGCTTTAAGCTTTACTTTTAGTCGTGAAATTCTAATTCTCCTTTATTTTTTATTCTTCTGCAGGACTGTACATTACTGTCTGACAAACAACAAACACTTCAGCTTTCCAGCTGACGCTTTACCAGAGAAGCTCCAGAATCAAAAACACATAGTGGATTTGATGGCTAACTACATGGAGCAGAATCTTATGGAGGTAAGTCCATAAATTGGTCCATAATTTAAACATTTGAATTGTAAGATAATCTAAGATAACATTTTAAATGATATTTAAAACATTTTAAATGAATTAAACTTAAGTTCAGCACTAACCTTTTAACCATATTGTATTGTATAAAAAAATTAATTAAAAAAATAAAATATTTTAATGATTATTGTCTTATTTTAAATATTTAAATCCTATTTTAAATCATTAATCTTTATAAAATAAAGCTATTTCTAAATGTATATAAAGTTTTATAGTTTTAAAATAAGTTTTCCTTTTTGTAGGGTGGAGACGTCAATGGTGAGAACCAGCCACCTCCAAGCTCTTCTCCATTACTGCTGCAGTGGATCAAGACTGATCACGCCTTAGTCATGCTCTTTGACAACCGAACCCTACAGGTGAGTCTTTGATTGTGCAGGCACGACAGATGAAACATTGACTATTTGGCCACTGACCAAAATTGAACGACTGACCTTGCTTGGCCGATGCAGCTCATAACGTTTCCCTCTGATTCTGCTCTCTTTCCCAGGTTAACTTTTACACGGACCACACGAAGATCATCCTGAGCAAGACCTCGGACTCTTTGTACCTGCTGACGTACATCAGCAAGGAGCGCGTCTCTTATTCCTACCCTTTGAACGTGCTATCCGAATGGGGCTGCTCTCCGGAGCTCCGGCAGCGGCTTCATTACGTGGTGCAGCTTCTCCAGCACTACACCAACGCATAATGAACCCCGCGGAACCGCTGTTCTGCTTCGTATTACGATTTGCTGCTTACCGCTTCAATTTGGGAAGCAAAAAAGGACTATGACAAAGAAAATCAGGGGAAGCTTCCATGTTGCCACGAAGATCTCCTGTCCTTGGTCATCAGCTGGCCTCTTTGAACTATGGTGCACTATTCTTTTTTTTATTTTTGCAACTGAGCCTACACCAACAGTATCACACTACCAGCTTGAGTCACAGTGTGCACAACCAAAATTTGAGCCCGTTCATTTTATTTGGATTTTTAGCTAGACTGAAGTGCAGATGGCATACAACTCACAGGGTTCTAAAGCGTCTTGCTTTTGCTCACAGTGTCTCATGCACTGCGCAAGATGGGCTTGGCTTTTTATGCTCGATCACTTGGCCTTTTTTTTTTTTTAAGACTTTTATTTCACTAAATGGTACACAAACTAGAAGAGCTATGGACACCAAATGGTTTATTCTTTTAATGAGATTAGTTTTAAAGATGGCAGAGGTGAATAGCTGAGGTGGAACTGTAATTCATGGAGGAGCAGTTAGGAGTGGGAGTGACTAAAGTGCCTTTCTGATGGATTCCTCTGTGCAATAATGGCCCTGAATCTCCAGCTTGAGTCAAAAAGGGAATGAGACGGGCTTTATATAGTCTTCATATTCGGTTTTCCAAGCAAATTAGGCAGGAGGGGGGGGGGGGGGGAAACACTACAAATACACACCTGATATAAGCTTTTTGCTCTTAAAAGTTAATATATCCCTAATGTCTGTACTTGAGGGGAAAAAAAGACTATGTATTCAGTGTGCCTCCAGCTTTGTTTACTTGACATGCTCCATAAGTAATCATAATGTCCTTAAAACTGTGACCATGGCTGTAAGTGATGTGTTTAGAATACCAACATTGTGAAAGCCATTACTCTCAGACAAATCCTAACTAGTATTATTAATTAATTGTGGCACGTGTTCTATTTATTTTTTTATTTATAGTTTTTTATTTATTGATGTAACATAATTGTCAACACTGGGAAATGTTCAGTATGATCACTTTTTATGTATTGGGAGAGTGGGGGGAATAAAGTTTATTGAAAATATAAATGTTCTGTGTCATGATTAAGTTTCTTTTTTCATTTTTAAAAGAGAAACAATGTAAAAAAAATTATATATATATAAATGGAAAGTGGGGGAATATTTTTTTTTTTTTTAAGATTACAGCTTGAGTCGTCTTCTATAATGCCTGATAAGTTTGGAGAGAATCTGACGAGATCAGAGACCATTCCTTACATCTCCAGATCCTTCAGATTCCCAGCTCCATGTTGGTGCTTCTCTTCAGTTCAGCCCACTCATTTTCTATAGGGTTCAGGGAGGGGACTGGGACGGTCATAGTAGAAGCTTCGTTTTGTGTTCAGTGGCATGTTTTAGTGTTGATTTTGATGTTTGTTTTGGATCATTGTCCTAATGGAAGATCCAACCTTGGCACATAAGATTTCTAGCATAAGCGGTCAGGTTTTGATTTATCTGTTGGTATTTGCTAGAATCCATGATACCACATATCTGAACAAGATGTCCAGGACATCCAGCAAAAAAATAGGCCCACAACATTAAATATCCAGCTGTATATTTAACCGTGGGCAAATTTTTTTTATTCCATCTGGTGGGTTTGCTGCCAAAAAGCTCTCTATTAGGTGTTCAAGCACGAAGAGCTGAAAACCTATTGTAATTGTTAGGATTTAAAAAAAAAAAAAAAAAAAAATCCCCTAAAACGCATCGGGCAGCCCAAACCGTAAGGCCTAGAGACTTGAAACCTGGCCAGATGGTAGGCCTCAATTTGGGGAGAACCTATCAGAGTATGACCCCGATTGGCCCATAGGTGGCGCTACAGCAACCAAAAGAACTAAATTGTGCATAACTCCTAGACTGTTTGACTTGGAATCAAGGTCTTTACACCACTGATCCTTGGCTTGATTTAGGCAGGAAAAATTTTCTGCTATGTCGAATTTTGTCCAAAAACTACTTTTGCAAACTAGTCCCTGGTTTTTCGCCCGATCGGAACCAAAACAGTCTAGGGCAATTCTCTGGACTCTCTAGATCAATAATTATAAAAAAAAAAAAAAAGTTTAACTTTAGCATTTGGGTGGCTGTAACAGGGTCATTTAGAAAAGGGCCGTGACAAAATACAGTCGAAAGCCTATAAATCCTAAAGGAAAACTCAGAACTTCACAAAAATTGATGAGCACATGTGTCATAACATGGTGAAGAAGCGTGCAAAGTTTCATGGAGATCGGACCATAGGTGGCGCTATAACTGTCAAAAAGGTCTCATTCTTATTAGGTGTTCAAGCACGAAGTGCTGAAAACCTATTGTAATTGTTAGGATTTTTTTGAAAAAAAAAAAAAATCCCCTAAAACGCATCGTGCAGCCCAAACCGTAAGGCCTAGAGACTTGAAACCTGGCCAGATGTTAGGCCTCAATTTGGGGAGAAACTATCAGAGTATGACCCCGATTGGCCCATAGGTGGCTCTACGGCAACTAAAAGAACTAAATTGCACATAACTCCTAGACCGTTTGACTTAGAATCAAACCGTAAGGCCTAGAGACTTGAAAGCTGAAACCTACAGAACTAAATTGTGCATTACTCCTAGACCGTTTGAAAAACTGTGTAGATATGGAGAACAACTGATTTTGAATGGAACTATAGATTTATATCATTTGCGTATTCTCCATCGTGGATATTTTATAGTTTCAGACCTACATTTCGATTCAGCTTAGAGCCAAACACCATTGTTGGCATGAAGGCCTTAAATGCTTGAACACCATTAATTGCTGCTTGCAGCTATATATTTTTTTAGCTTTGTCTGACCACAGAACCAGGTCCCTTTTGAAGTTCATGTCATGTCTAACAACTGAATATGCTGGCGTTTGTTTTTGAATGAGTGAGGAGGATTTTTCTTGAAACCCTCCCATGGTGATGTAGGTGCTGTTTGATTAAAAAAAGAAAATTAGCATTCTGACCCCCAAGACTCAACTAATCTCTCTTCAGCTGTGTTCCTTGGAGAGTCTTTGGCCACTCAAACTCTCCTCCTCACCGTGCATTAAGACACTATAGACAGACACATGTCCTCTTCCAGGCAGATTTGTAACCTCTTTAGTTGATTGGAACTTCTTAATTATTGCCCTGATGGTGGAAATGGGATTCTACCCATGGTGCGCTTAAATAACAAATATAAATGGGAATATACTTCAGAGATATTTTACTCATTGGAATTTATAGGGGTGCCAATAATTGTGGCCAACATGCATTGGAGAAAAACATTTATTTCATAATGTGAGTTTCCCCCCACTTTCAATTGTTTTACTTCAATGAAAGGTTAGAATTTTGTGAATTGTTTTTTTAATGAAATATCAAAAGGATAAACAATGCAGATTTATTTTCACAGCCGCTTATTTGCCAAAGCTGCCAATAATTCTGGAGTTGACAGTATTATACTGTTTAACTGTGTCTTTGAATGCAGTCTTGGTAAGCATAAGAGACTTCTTTCAAAAACATTTAAAAAATGTAATATTCCAAACCAGATGACCAGTGCTGTATTTTGTGTAATTATGTGACCAGTATTTATTTTATATCTTGAATTTTTAAAGGTGTGCATTTTGTACACACGAAATAAGAGATGTTGATTTAACTTTCATTCAAAGTACATACCATGTATCATAGCCACAGCAAACAGTGAGTGATTTTGGAAAACAGCAGATGTGAAGTTGTCAGTGTTGGGGTTGATCAGGCCACAGCTGGCCACCCTTATACCTTGTTTATCATTCTGCCCGACCACCACCTGGCACACGAGTTTATATCGTGGCGGATTAACATCTTTTAGCTTACTGAGAACTAGATCTGCTAACATCTGACACAGTTGGCTACAACTGTCAGGACTGTAATTCACACCTTCCAAATAACTATCCAAAGTGGCCTGTAATATCTGCTGGGTCCTGCTGGCACTGAAGTGGCACCCTGGTTCTGGTCCCATTCTGTAGGTGTTCTCCACATAGACTTCTTGGATGGGTTGGGGAAGGTAGAGTCCAGAGAAGCTCACTCTTCCTCCCTGGTGCCAGCCGGCGAAAGAGAACCGCTTGCCGATGGAGATGTGAGAAGTGCTGACGTTGGGGCTCAGGAACGATGACTCTGACGAGAGACCAGTCATGCCCCTGAGGAACAGGGGTCTGTGGTGGGGCTGGTCCTTAGATTGGTCTTTGGAGCTTCGGCGGGTGGAGATGGAGCCCAGACGTCTCCTTGGAGGCCCTGAGGTACCTGGTTCTGTGGCCAGGGAGCGATTGAACTGAGCTAAAGTCTCCTGTGACAGCGGTAAAGGCTGATTGGCCATGATGAAGAAAACTGTGAGGAGACAAATCACATTGTATCGATATATAGCCTTGTTCAAAAAGTGATTTTGAACATTCTTGGGCATTAAAGTCTCAAGTTCAGTATCCTGTTCATTATATCTGTAGTAAGTCATTGAGGCACAAAAGACATCAGTTCTTGAGAATTAATTACCCATGTATTTGTTGGAAAAATATGTGAACTTACAGGAAGGTAAACTCTGTAAAAGGGGTCATGCAAGTTCAATGATTGAATTCTTACAGTGTGAGACTAAGGGCCTTACACCCAATAACACAAACTAAAATTTTACTATAGCTTCCTCAAAGACACAGGTTTCTAAATTAAATAATTTCCTTGATCAAAAAACATTTATATGGATCTAATTTAAAAGGCATTTGAGATGTAATAGTTATAGTACAAACCACTATCAGGGACACCATCATTGTCCCAGATCCTGTGAAGGGGACCTACTAAATTAATTTTAAAGCTCAAATTGGGGCTGGGGTCTAACATTACAATTTTGTCCCAGGCCCTATGAATTTGTGTCCAACAAAATCACTTCAAAAGGTGTTTACAGTAAGGCCATTAAAAAGGTCAGACTAAGGAATTGAGAGTGACAATATGAATTGAGAGTGACAAAACGTGTTTCTAAAGTAGATCTATGAATTAAAAGCTCAAATTGTAAAACAGTCAAGCCAAAGTCCTAAATTTGAATGTTTTTGCACTTTTGCAAGTTGTTCGTGAAGGAAAAAATTTACCAAAATACCATCAAACTACTGTTTGGAACTGATCTATTGGCACACACACACAAAAAAAGTTGTTTGGTTTTTGTTGGATTTTTTTGCGAATGTTAGATATGCCCAATAAAATGACACATTTCATGACTGAAAAAGGCCCTCGAGATGCTAATCAAAAAAACATTAATTCATTTTTATGAATCTCTTTTGCTGAGGTTTCTATTCTCATGGTAATATTTTATAATCAAGAGGATATCAATTTCAATTGTTAATGGTTTATTCGCCCAGACTCAAAGGAATGGTTTTCGAGACACATCTTCTTGAGTCCAGACCTAGATCAACTGCAGATGATGATAACAATTGAAAACCATTACTATTGCACCAGGTTTAAGGTGTTTCATGGAAGCCAACCCGAAGAGCTTATTTAAGAGAATGACGTGCTTTTTAATGTATGAAACACTTTTTGATCAGGACCGTCAGGGAAGTTCCCACCTGTCTGTACAGTGAAATGTTGTTAGAGTCCTCAGACTGAGTCAACGGTGTACCACACCTCAGGTTCGGTTCACTGCTCTTCTGCCTTTTCCCATCCACGGTCTTTGCCTCCACACCACTCTTGAGTGATAATAATCTATGTGCCAAAACATATACACACACACACCACAGTTTACTGCTCTACACTCATGTAGTTACAGCAAGTAATGAGAGGAGATGAAACGTGAAAGTACAGGTATGGGTAGAAGAGAGAGTACAAATGAGTCTTTCATTTCTGAGTCACTAGAAAAGAACAGCAAGCTCTACATCCTCACTCAGATAAAATAATTGAATGAGCACATCCTTACCGTCAGCTTCCGCACCATGAGCAGCAAGAATGAACAAGGTAAAATCACTCTTGAGTCAGAGATGTTCAACATGAACTTCAAAGTTACTCAGAGGAGCACATACATTGTCTTAATTGTGTTACAATATATTGAATACAAATATATTTACGTATCAGTGTGATACTTCCTGACATTTAAATTTTTTGTCAGAATGGATTAAAAATTAAATTTCAACTTGATAACATTCATCACGTCTTACACATAAAATATTACATATATATTATGTGTCTCAGAAACCCCAGCAGACTTTTTAAAAATCAATTTGATCAATATCATTTTTAGTTTTTTCGAATAGGTTTTGGTGAAATTGACACCAAACGGAAACAATTGCCACTATACTATATAACAACGTCGTTTCTAAATAAGTTCATGCCTAATTTGTGAGGGTTAAAGCTTCAAAAACGTCTGTCAAAGGAATTTAAATAGGTTAGAGGACAATTTTAAAAGAATTTAAAGAGAAAACAATTGGTAATTTTCCAAAATTAATAATATTATTTTTTACCTTTACATCATTGGTGTCTCTGGTACCCACAACATAAAAACAGTAAAGTCAATCTTAAGTGATAATATTACTGCCAAAACCATCTATTAAAAAGAAATTACCAAAAATGTTTGTTAAGTGTAGAATTCAGTATCGTCACGAATCAATGATGGGTTACCCTAATTCCTTACCCGTTTAGGAGCTCAATAAAATATGATTATTGTCGTATTCCAATGAGGGAGTCTCTTCACAATGTTGTCACTAAGTGGTCCATGCTCACTGTTGCGAGTGCATCTCTAAGCAAAGACCAATCCCGTAAATTATTGTCAAAATGGGCTACATGGGCAGGCACACTAAACAATGCCCCGCAAGCCAGGCAATCATTCACACAGTGCTTTGAATAACCTGGATATCTGCCACGAACTTGCTTGTAGTCATGGAAAGCCTTTTATTTCAACTGTCCACTGTAGCCTGATTGGCTTATCAACAATTATGGCCAATGTCCATAGTCATGGGTTATCAAATTTATTTTACCAGTAACATACATTTTTTGTTTGGTAGATGTTTTGCTTTGTTATTTTTGTATTTCCAATAGTGATATGGAGCTGCATCACAAATGGACTGATTATTTGTATTTGAGAGAGAAAAGGTGCTGATCTCTGGTTGCCAGTGGGCTGAATCAGGCAGAACCATCTGTTTCCACTGCAATCAAGAGGAAAAGGAGGGCTGCAGTTACATTCAGACACAAGCAGCTCATCAAACGTACCTCTGTGCTGATTCTCTGTCTCACTAAATCAATTCCAGCAATGTCAGTAGGATATTTCAGAAAGAACAACTCAATAACTCTTGTGAGAATTATCTCAAAGAATATCACTGACAAATACTTTATATCTAATGGAAAAATTGTTGTTCATAATCATGAAAATGTGCGTAATGTCAAAGTTAGTCATGCGAAACATAGGGACATTTGTGAGGAAGTTGGAAATAAATTACAGACGTGCACAGGTCAACAAGTTCTAGCATGCCTGGACATGTCTGGAGATGTGTCAATAGTGGAGTTTGAAAAGGGCTGACAAGCAGAAAATACAAACGGTGGAGACAGATGAAAAGGCAAGACCTTTGAGAGGGGAAAACCATGCATAAACCGTGTTTTCGTATAGATGGAGAACTCTCTCTCTTCCATAAATCAACTAGTAGATCGTCGCAGTACAGAACTGAAACTTTTACTTTTCTGGAGAAAAAGTAGTGTTTGTCACCAAATGATTACCAAAGTTTTACAATGCTGTTTTGGATGGTTGCTAGGGTGTTGCTATGTAGTTGCTAGGCTGCTTTGGGTGGCTGTTATGTGTACCAACCTCCAAGCAGTGTTGTTACGCTGCATCCGAAATTGAATACTTACTTCCCTACAGTATGATAAAAAAGTAAGCTAAAAGAGTAGTATATTTGAACACATAGTAGGCCTATTCGAAAAACAGTAGGCAAAAAGTCCTCGGATGACCTACTACTTCTGGCAAGATTCTGAAGTGCGCATTCGATGGACACTTCACTATACCATGAGGCCAAGGGAGAGGATTTGTGAATAGAGGTGAAGCGATGAAACTTATGCTGGTAGGTCACATCATGACAATGACAAAATGGCGGATGTATTTCGTCCGAATTACATTCATAGTACACACATTCATACTATATAGAACGTACTTTTATAAAGGTTGCGAAGTAAGTTCAAATTCAAATGTAGTACTCAGACAGTATGCGATTTCGGACGATATAGTGCAGCAGGGAGGACGTTAAAAAATGTCTTTTTTTGTTCTGCAACGTAAACAGCACAAACTCGCACCTTCAATTAAATCTCTAGTTCAACATGTGATTTTGATGCACAAGGAGTTAGTAGCACTCATTAACAAAACAATCCGGAATTCAACTCCGAGGTTAACTTTGTATCTGTACTCAGTGAACCTGAGGGGTCTAGTGTTACTCAACTAAAATACTATGTACTTCAGGTCTAATGATGTCAGCCAACTTAAAGATTTGGAGGAGCACTGAATCAGCCTAGGCCTACTCAAACTGGAACTGAGGTAACCTTGTCAATCATGAGAAAATCCTTTAACAAAGACCTTTAACGTCACAATATGCTGTTTTAAAGGGATAGTTCATCATTTATTTGCCCTCATGTCATTTTAAATGTAAGAACACAAGATTTGGTAATGAGTTCATTCAGAATTGTGAACCGTTTGTTGAAAAGAACTGGCTTTTTTTGGGCATTTCTGAAGATTAATAATCACAGTCAATATTAATTGTTATTGCATAGAAATATTTAATTGAAACTATTTTTGTTCCACAGAAAGAAAATCTTATACGTTTGGAATGACATGAATGAAACAATTTTAATTTTTAGATGAAGTATCACAATAAGAAAAAGCTATATTACAGATTTAAAGTAATTTATTACTTCACCTCTCTAATTTTTGAGTGGAAAGTTGCTAAAAACTAAACATATTTATTTTTTTGCTACTAAATATAATACAAAACATTTTTTAACTGAAATGTTTTTTAAGGGCATTTAATCCATTTAAAAAAAGACAGATTCAGACCCGAATTGAGATTTTGACCTATTATCATCATATCAAAGTATTATTTTTCTCTGCATTATTCATTGAGACACTGATGCATTTTTCATTGACTTTAATCATGGTGTCAGATTAACATCTTTTCTGAATCACAATTAAATGCACAATGTTTCATAGAACAAGTGGTTGTCCATGTTATGGCACGAAAATACCTATTTTTTTTAAAACAAATTAATGAATTAAATTAATAGTTTTATTCAGCAAGGATGGGTTAAATTGATCATTGACAATTGACATTATTTATAAAATTATATTTCAATTAAATGCTCTTTTGAACTTTCTATTCATCAAAAAATCCTGAAAAAAATATATATTAAGCAGCACTACTGTTTTCAACATTGATAATAAGAAGAACTGTTTTTGACCAAATCGTCAAATTAGAATGATTTCCAAAGGATCGTGTGACACTGAAGACTGGAGTAACGATGCTGAACAAATTCAGCATTACCATCACAGGAATAAATTACATTTTAAAATATATTAAAATAGAAAATAGTTATTTTAATTTGTAATTATATTTTACAATATTACTGTTTTTATGTATTTTTGATCAAACAAATGCAGCAGTGGTGAGCGTAAGAGACTTCTGTCAAAAATATAAAAAAGGTTAAACAAGTAGTCTAATTGTTAATCATTGTCAACTCTGCTAATGTGTTAACTGTGACAAAAGTATGAAATGAAACATCCCACAGCTCTCATAACCTGACGTTGTAGTTGTTTGATGTTTTGAGTAAACCTGCGTGAGTAAAAAGTAACAGTAAAAAGCTGGGGCGCATTTCTCACTCTGACTAAGTAATCTAGTGTCACCCACTTGCCAGTATTTCCAGAGGTAGTCTTAGAACCAGTGAATCACATTCGGGAACCACAACAAAAAAATGGAGTCAGACAGGAGTTTAGTTTCCTTTTGACAGCTTCCTCCATTTCCTTGGCCCAATCCCACTGCCCCCTGCCCCCTCCTTGGTGGAGTTCAGCTGGTGGGCTGTGCTGAGAGAGTCACTGCTGAGTAATACTAACTGTGACACTGCTGGCCTGATATCACTCATATGCTCTACAGTGTAAATAAACTGAGAGACCCTTATACAAACACTGCCTGTGGATGAAGGGCTCATCCCTTATTTTTAGTAGCTAACAGGCTTAAGTTACGTCAAAACTTTTAAAGGGACAGTTCAGCCAAAACATGAAAAATTCTGTCCTCATGTTGTTTCAAACCTGTATGACTTCCCTTTTTTGTCCCATAGGCTACAAAGTTGTATGTTGTTTTGAACTCCACCGACAAAAACAGTCGAATCATTCTTCAAAATATCAGAACAAAGTCAGGTTTGGAATAACATGAGGGTGAATAAATAATGACAGAATGTTCATTTCTGGGTGAACATTCCTTTTAACCATGATTTTCTATTTCCTGTTGCAAGTTGTGTAAGTGGGCGGGCTATTCTCATGCTAGAGAGCATTTGATTGGACCAAATCTGTGTAGTGCAGGATGAGTCATCAATACTTTTGGGGCCCTATTTTAACGATCTGAAACGCAAGTGTCAAAGCGTAAAGCGCAAGTAACTTTGTGGGCGGATCCCGGCGCTGTTGCTATTTTCCCGGCGGGATAAATGCCTCTTGCGCCAGGCGCAAATCTAAAAGGGGTTGTCTGAAGTAGCTTCATTATTCATAGGTGTGGTTTGGGCGTAACGGGAAACAAACCAATAAGAGCGTCATATCACATTCCCTTTAAGAGCATGATGAACGAGGTGCGCTTGTTCCATGGCGCAAAACTATTATAACGGCGCATTTACCAGGCGCGCTTCAGAATCGGTTCACAGCCGAGGAGATCGATGTTCTCGTCAGGGCCGTAAAAGAAAGAGAAGTGACATTGGGGACGGGACAAACCCACCCAAATTAGCTTCGGTTAAACATGCATATAATAATCGGGGTAAATGTGTAAGCTTTATGCCTATTTTTCAAATTGTCATGGACACAACAATGATTTCCCTCGTGTTTTAATATTTTTCCTTATAATAATATATCATTTGCAAAAAATAAAATGCATCTGTGTTGATGAGAGAATCATCTACAGTGTATGCACGTTGTTCACACTCTGTATTATGGCCAAGCATGCGCGCTTAAAATAGCATCTGAATGTACGCGCAACGCGCCACTGACTTTAGACTAGGTTTTTTCTGGTCAGTGGCGCAATTGTTTTCTGGAACTGCAAAATACCACCAGGGAATGTTTGGGCCGGAACACGCCTCCTTTTTGCGCCGACCCGCCCAGGGAGCGCAAGTTCATTTCCTAGTTTACCGGCGTGCGTCTGTGGAGGGAAAAGCCCGCTTTGCGCGGGTGCAAAATAGGAATGATACATGCGTCAGTGAACAAAGTCATTTGCGCCGGGTGCAAGATAGGGCCCTTGGTCTGTTTTCCTATAAGAGAAAGACTGTAAATATTAAATGCAGCTTTTGGAGCATAGTGGTTCTCTTCTCTTTTGACTCCAACTAATGTCTAAGATGATTTTCGAATGTGTGCCCCTGGTAATTCTGTTGTATTAAAAAAAACCTCAAAAACGCTGTCTGTTAGTTTAATGTTGTGTATCTTTATTTTTAGAGTTATTTTTAGAATTTTAATTAAGATTATGTTAATTTAACTAATTAAAATTCTTTTTAGACATGTTGCAAGTTTTCTAAGGCCTAGAACTACTGGTGTAG